CATTGTCCAAAAAATTATACACAAAAATTAAATAATTACAAAAGCAAAAAGAGAATCAAGGTATCAAGGTATTTATTTCTCAAAAAATAATTTTACACCGACTAATTGTAGTGAATAAAATCTTCTAATATTTACATATATAATTAATTAAAATAATTAATATTATACAGTTTTGTACTCCTCGTCTCAAGATATTAAGTGAGGGGGCACGCTGTAAAAAAATAATAATAATAATACGGAGTATATATATAATATAACAACTATAAAATTCAAAAGACATGGAAGAAGAAAATAATTCAAATATGCATGTTAAAAAAAATAATTTTAAGAGTAGAAGTATAAAGAGAAAAAGGAAAGAAAAATGAGATAACTTTAAAAGGAAAAAATTAAAAAGTTTCAATTGAAGAAGAAAATTTTGACTTTTTTTATTTTGGGATCGGGATGGGTAGCGTTTATCTTGTAGTTATAAGTCCAAAGAGCAGGTAGTTGCGGGAGTTCCCATATCGTCATAAAAAAAAAAAAAATTTAAGTAATTTGAAGAGTAAAAAAAAAAAAAAAAAAATTTAATTTTAAGAACCACGAAATTTAGAGAGTACTGTATAAATTTTTTTCTCACATTTGCCCTTTTTGCATTTTAGTGCTTAAAATCTGTGTGCATCTTTTGCTAAAGGACAAACATAGCCATCATATCCAGCAGGTATTTATAATACTCAACAGTTGCAAATTTCTGTAAAACAAAAAAAAAATTGCAAGTGATGCAAATCCATTCTCTTTATTCTGAAACTTTTCCTTTTTTTAATTTCATTCATTAATAACACACAGTCACACACCATTCGTCGCATTCTGTGGCATTGCACGCTTCACCGCCTTGCCACGCACATCCACCAATCATCTTCCCCCATTTCACGTCACCACAGTAATGTATTCCAACTTGCATGTTTCGGCGCCGAAATGAAGAAAACCAATTTGCAAGATATCTTGCTCTTTTTTAATTATTTTTTTTTGGTGAGTAATAAATTGTAAATTACAGTATTAAATAGTCTTAGAAGTTAGACCCGGTAATATTTGGTGATCAAATTCAATTAAATTTTTTTCTAATATAATAATACACTCTTACGAATTTAATTTTCAAAAAATTGAAAATTCTTAAGAAAATATTTTGAGTACAAATAATTCTCTGAGAGGATATATGAGTATCAACCATAAAAAATATAATAATAATAATAATAATGAAAAGTCTGAGTTGGACCCGCTACAAATTATCCCAATATCACCTAATAATTATAAAGATTGAGAAATATATGGAGACTATTTTTTTGTTAAAAGTAAAATGAAGAATTTGGAGGAAGAGGAAGAAAAAGAGGTGGACTAATTTCTAAAAGTAAAAGGAAAGGGAGGGAAATTTATAGAAGTGTTGTTTAACTTGTTTTACCCTTATGACTCGTAAATAAAACAATCTTTTTTCCTTTTTTTTTCATATTCAAAATTGGAAGGAATAACAAAGAGAATGATAGTTACCCTAGTTAAATATATTAATTTACAAAGTTTAAGAGTATGTTGATAAAATAATAATTGTATTTTTTTCCCATTCGTTTTAGATAACCAACTTAAAAGTTCATGAATGCCATCATTATTTTTATTCAGGAATGTCTCTTCAGTCATCCCGGCCATCTCTCTTCCATTCATTTTTCACCTCTCATAAATGGAGCATAGTCAACACTAGGTTTTCCTTTTATTTTTTTATTTACTTCATAACAAATGTTATTTTTTTTGCATTTAAAATGAATTACATTCTATATCAAAAATTACAAAATGGTGTACACATTAGCAAAAGTATATTTTGGACCTAACAAATCATGGATAGTGTAATCATATTGGGTTAAGGCAAATGACACCAATATAGTGTGTTTTACTGTTTTCTTTCTGTTTATTTTATTTTATTTTTTAGTTTAGTTTTTGTTTTTCAATATAGTGCTTATTACAGTATAACATCTCTATTTTAAGGAATGAGTATGCAACCATCTTTTAGTTTGAGAAAATGTTGCATATAATATAACTACCCTTTGTCCAACAATAATTAGATTTAGCCTTTAAACTGAACACGTGCAATCTACGAGTTAGTCATTAATTTTCAGAATACCCATACAATGTACATAAATATATAAGGCTTTATTTTCAGAATACCCATACAATGTACATAAATATATAAGGCAAAGTATAAAAAAAATAAAAAAATTCTCTCGATTCTTAATATATGCATACACACACCTTAGTTAGGCCATCTCCAATGGCCTCGTCAAAAGGCCTTGTTTGGTGAGAAAGGACAATTTTGGACTACAGCAGTCTCTCATGATGGTGGAGTCCAAAAGGGCACTCTTGATAATACTCCTGATATCTGGTGATCAACTTAGCGACCGCCGAAGCAATTGTCTCCTCCTCTTTCTTTTCTTTTTTTTAAACTAAAAACAATTTTTTTTTTTTTTTTTTTACCTTTTTTTTTTTCACTAGTATTATTTTAGTTATTTGTAATAGTTTTTAATCCATGACAATGGATATTGCATTATTATTTTTATTTATTTTATACCCCATATTATGATGTAATGTGTTGTTTTTAGATTAATGTACTTATGATTATCAAATGATAAACAAATGAGTTATTATATAAGATGAAAAATATAGTCGTTAACATATAGTCGTTGATAAATATATATATATATGGATAATACTATATATATATATATATATATATATTTTATGTAGAGTGAAAATTCGGAGAGGTGCTGCAACGCCAAAATTTGAAGAGCAGAAGCAGCATACATGTCTCTTGAAAAAGTTGGTGCGACTCTTGAAAAAGTTGACGCAACTCTTAAAAAATGTGATTAATTTAGAGAGCAAAATTTTAAAAAGGATGCTAAAATTGATAAACTAAATTTGTTATGTCAACATAAAAAATGATTTATTTGTACTTTTTTGTACTCGGTTTTTTTGACATGTACGGTAACTTTAGTAGATTCTATTAATGTAACAATAATTTAATAAGTATTCTTTATGTATATATATAAAAATCTAAATGGCATTCCAATAAAAAATGTAAAAAAAAAAGTAAAAAAAAATCACAAAATCAGTTGAAACTATCCCGACAAAATATAAGCTAAAACGCAAGAGTTATATTCACCAAGGGGTGTTTATTACTTTATTATATAAAGGCCTTTAGGTCAATTCACCCCTCTATTAAACATGAAGCCATCATGGCATGTTTTTCGAATAAAAGGGATGTTTTTGTGCAATGTTCTAATTATTTTATGTTAGAAATTATAAAATAATTTAAAAGACAAAAAAATTATTACAGTATTATTATTTTACTATGCATCACAAAAGTAATTTAAATCATGGGTCCAAGTGTCTATTTCTTTATTATAATTTGACAAGTATGAGTAGCTTTCCCAAATAATAAAATTAGAAAATCATATTTATATTTTAAAATATAATAAAATTATGATTGTATACCATCTAAAAGCTATGACCTAAAGAAAAATTATTGGTTGTGACGCTTTTGATTGTAATTGACCGAGATGATGTAATAACTAGGGGTGGTAAATAATGGGCCAGTGGCTTAGCGGTATCAGTTTCTTACTTTTTAAAGGGAGGTCAGAGGTTCAAGTCTTATAAGAGACAAGTGTGTGTGAGTATCAATTAGGAAAAAAAAAAAAAAAAACTAGGAGTGGTAAAATGGGTCACAACCTATCAACCCGCTCATATTCGTCCGCTTTTTAATGGTTTTGAGTAGATAAATATTGTTGAGGTTAAAATTATTATTTTTATTTGTTATTAAATAAAATTTTAAAATCTTTTGAAAAAAAAATACAAATAATTAAAAAGATTAAAAATAAATAAATTTTTTTAAATAATTAAAATTTTTAAATTTTTAAAAATAAAAAATAATTAATGGATCCACGGGTTGACACTATACATTTTTGACCAACCCATTTAAAAATTGTTTTGAATGAATTGAATATGGGTCTTGACCATGTTTGATCCGCCCATTTTCAACCCAGCACAAATCTGGCCCAACCCATCCATTTGCCACCTTTAGTAATAACACAACTAATTAAAAAATAAAAAAATTGTTATATTATTTTAATAAAAAAGAAAAGAATTAAAAAATAATAAAGGGGAGACTATATTCACACTCCACTTTTCTCCAATTGCACTTCATTTATCATCTTATTTTAAAGGAAATGACAAGAAGGTCCTTAAAATTATTAATGCACAATTCCTTATTTTATAATGTTACAACTATCTTTTATACAACTTTAATTTTTAATTTTTTTTTTACCTTCTTTACTTTCTTTATTATTTTTTGTTTCCTTTCTTTTTGTTTTTTCGGAAGGTTCTCTCAAAGAAAAACATTTTTTCCATACTAATAATTTTATTTTTTGCAGTCAAAATGGATAATTTATTCCATAGTGATTTTTTTTTATTTTAAAATTGAAAGAGATATTTATTCAACAAAATTAAAATTTTTTTTTTTCAATTATGTCAAAAGAGGTAACTTTATATTTTGGTAATTTTTTATGAGTCCTATCAAAAGAAATTATTTATTCAATAAAAATAACCTCAAAGAGGCAATTTATTCAAAGTAACAACATTTTTTGTTTTGGTCCCTTAAAAAAAAATTTATTCAAAATATTTTTTTTTTGTGTTGTAAAAAAATACTAAAAATATTAAAGATTAAAGATAAGGAGAGAAAATATGAAAGGACAATTGTGTTATTTAAAAAATAATAATTATTTATTTATAAAATTAAAATTAAAATTACTATTTCATTTAAAATTGTATTACAAATATTTCAATGCGGAGGGCATATCACTCCCATAATAATAATAATAATAAAAAGTCCTTAGTAAATTCCGCAGGGAAAGTGCATTTCAATAACTTCAAATCACATAAATAGCGTAAAATGGCTGAGTATATGAACCTACACCTGTTAATTGTTATGATCTTTACCGATCATTAGTACAGAGCTTAATTGTAATTTCTCTCTTTCTCTCTCTACTTCGCCGACTCAATCACAATTCACACCTAGCACCCCCTCTCCCCTCTCTTTCTCTCTCTCTCTACAATTCAGTCTTCGAATTAGTCTTCACACAGTTAGGTTTTGTTTGGGGCTTCTCTTTCCATGGACGTTCGCTGCTTTCCGTAATCCTCCGGCGTGTCCCGTCAATGTCTCTCGTCGAGACCTCGATCGATTGCGTCCATCAACGCCTCGATCGCCTCTCTTCGAAGCGGAAGTTGGACGAATATGGTCCCACCGACGACGACGATTTCTCATCGGACTTAGTCTCCGTTAGGATGAGGAGGGACGAACCCAACGCCGTGAATTCCACCAATCATCTCACTACTCAACTCCACAACAGCCAGAAACAACAACTCTCTCACATAGAACATGTCTCCGATTCCCGATGGTCCTCGTGCTCTTCCTCAAGAAGATTGCAATTCTTTGTCAGAATGATTTCAGGAGCTAACACTTTAGTCTTGCAGGCGGATTCCGAAGATACAGTGAAATCGGTGCACGAGCGAATCCATTCAATCACCGGCATACCAGTGATCGAGCAGCGATTGATTTACCGCGGGAAACAGCTACAGTGGGAGCAAACTTTGGCCGAATGTTCCATTCAGAACGACGCCGGGCTTCAATTGGTGGGTCGGATGAGGAGTACAGGGCACCCCCAGGCTTGGCAACTGATTGATGAGATGGTATCGTTGATTTGTCGTCTGTGTAGGGGCGAATCGACAGTGTCTCACAAGTACGTCAAGTCGAGGTTAATGGAGTTCTTTAGGATGACGCCCAGAAATGATACCGAGGCTGCAGCTGGTCATCTGCAGATATTCATGTCTTCGTGTGCGCCGGCGGCGTTGGTTATGCTCTATGTTTCGCCGGTGAAAGGTAACAAAGAGTGTGCTGATGAATCGATTAGGCAATTTATTAGTTCGAGCCAGAATGTGTTGCCAAAACTTGTTCTTTCACAGTGTGCACCTATAATGTTAGAATTTTGTAAATTACTTGGTAGAACTGCTCATGATGACCCTTTGTATTCCTTGTGCCGGAGTAGCCTTGGGTCCATGGTGGAGAAGTGTGATACTAATAAGGCATTGATTGCAGTTCAAGAGATTTTCCCTTTTGTTAGTGAGCTTGCAGCTAAGTTGTCTAGTGATTTAGTTTTGAGCATGGAATCACCCACGGGTATAGGGCCGTTACTGAGTGATGTCTGTGATTTCACGGCATTCTTGCTCCCATTGCGAACTGTGATCAAGGAGCAAGTCGATTTAGGGGTTCCCATCTCACTGCCAATTGAGGAGGGTGGTTATAACATACCTTGTCACAGGGAAGAGATTAAGTTTCTTCATGGCATTTTTACTGATTTACTGGGAAAAATGGAACAATGTCTCCTGAAAATGGAGGAGTGCTCGACTGTGAAAGAGAAAAGAGAAGACGAACATTTTCATCTTGGATGGTGCCACTATCTCACTATTTTGAAGGAACTGAATAGTATCTCTAAACTTTATCAAGGTGCTGAGAAACTATTCTGGGCAAAATTAAGGCTTAGAAAGGTTTCAATATGTTATCTTGTAATTAGGTATGCTAAGCGGAATGATGATCATAAATGGCTTCTTGAGCTAAAGGACGTGACTGATTTTGAATCTAGGAGGCATTTGGCAATGATGATGCTCCCTGAAGTGAAGGACGAATATGAGGAGCTGCATGAGATGCTCATTGACAGGTCACAATTGTTGGCAGAATCATTTGAGTACATCGCACGTTCAGACCCTGAGGGGTTGCGTGGTGGTTTATTTATGGAGTTCAAAAATGAGGAAGCTACAGGTCCAGGTGTATTGCGGGAGTGGTTTTTCTTGGTATGCCAAGCAATTTTCAATCCACAAAATGCTCTTTTTGTAGCTTGTCCAAATGATCGTCGAAGGTTTTTTCCGAATCCTGGTATGCTTCCTTTATCTTTCATTCAAGATGTTTGTAAATTCCGTTTGTTTTGTTTTTTATTTTTCCGTGCCTTATATAGTTAAAAGAATGTTTATTGGTGAAAGTGTGCCTAGTCTGGAAAATCACAAGAATAGATTATAGGAGCTATTTTGTTCTGTTTTTTGCTTACAAAAGTAACTTACTTTTTGCATATTATATGGAGTTCTTATTCAACTATGTGCAAATAATGAGGGATTTATAATCTTAGATTCAAAATTTTAGGAGACTGAATATGGCCGGTCTATTTGGTTATCAAATCATCTAGAAGTTGACATTATAGTTGAAACTGGTCTTTTTGTCGTCTGTTAGAGATTACACAGGAGGAAAATGGTGCCCAAGTAGCCATGTATGATATTTTGGAATGGAAAACATATTTAGAAATTCCGATTAATTAGAAACCATCAAGGTGTATAACTTTTTTTTTCTCAAAATCTTAAGGTTGATGGAGTACCACCAAAGATGAAGTGGGTGCTTTAGCATTGTGATATAGGTAAGTACTGAAATTGGGACTTCATAATCTATATGTTTGGTAGGCAGGACTTCATAATCTTTATTGTGGAAGCCAATACACCTTTGTCAATCATATAGAAAAAGAGGAGACAAGTCCTTCAATGCGATCATTGACATAGCTGTAGACTGAAGGAAACACACCTCAGTAGGTTCCCTAGAAGTGCAATTTGTGGACCCTCATATCCTAGATACTTAAAGGTGGTTTTTTTGGATTCTCTTCCTTTTTTTTTTTTGCTTTTTTCTTGATAGATATTTCTCTGAAGAGTCATATTGCCATAGAATTTTTCTGCATCTTGCTATGATATTGTTTCATGCTGTTATTATGGCATGTTAACCATTCATTTTTTTTGGGCAGCACTTTTCATGGGAACGTTCTTCCACTTTACCTATACACCTCTCTTTCAATTAACGAAAGTTTGCTTCTTATCAATGCTTCTATATAAATGTTAGGGTTATAATTACTTATCAAAAAATATAAAATAAAAATGTTATAGATTTTTTTTTACATTTTAATATACATTTTATATTAATAATAACTAAAAGGTATCTATTTAGGATGAATACAAAATTTCATAAATATATTGTAAACAGACAACCTTTTTTCTTATAAGGTACCAGTTTATATTGATGTTCCATGTTCTTGGCTGTCTTTGCTTTATGGCTTTATCCTTTTGGTATAGCTTGTACGTTCAATTTGCCTCGCATTTCCTATTAGATGTATGCGTCACGTGTGGGCATATTTCTACCCAAAACTTGGGTTGTAGTATGTGTCAAAGTGTTACGGATGCCAAGTTCACTTCGAAGTTCTGGGAAGAACTTCAAGCAGCGTTTGGTTCAGTGTTACACATGAGTACGGCATTCCATCCACAGACGGACGGCCAGTCGAAGCGTACTATCCAGATCTTTGAGGATATGCTTCGGGCATGCGTGCTTGATTTGGGAGGTAGTTGGGAGGATCACCTTCCACTTATTGAGTTTGCCTACAAAACAGTTATCATGCGAGCATTCAGATGGCTCCATTTGAGGCGTTGTATGGTAGACCATGTAGGTCTCCTGTTTGTTGGACTGAGGTGGGCGAGACAGCCGCCTTAGGACTCGACATTGTACTTGAGACTACTAAGAAAATTAAATTGATCAAACAGAGGCTTCTTACAGCTCAGAGTCGAATCTAGGTTAGGTTATGACCTAGTTTTGATCTTTAGAATGCTCAAAATATTGTTTTAATCCCGTTTATCAAAATTGGGGATTTTGATAAAGTATTTTCAAAACAGGAACTTTTACAAAACATTGAATCTCGATCTAATGATCCATTGACCCAATTTTGCAGGAAAAAATGTTTTTGAAATCTAGAATATCTTGATCGATTTGTCGATCAATTGAAGTTTGCCAGTGAGTGTCAAGCAAAGGATTTGATCGATCGAACCATGTAGACATACTTTTTTGGAAACTCTCTTAAATCAGAATTCTGAAAGTATTTCACTTGCGATACCACATGGGTCTCATATACTGGCTATAAATATGGGTTATAGTCAGTTTAAGGTATATCTTGCAGGAGCTTTTAATTTTTCACATATTATTAAGAGAATTCAGAGAGAGAATGCTTTGACAATCAATTTAGGGTTCTTCACTGAAGACCGTGTATATATGGGATTGAGAGAATCAAAATAAGGAGTTGAATTGAGAATAACCATCTGAGCATGACTGAGTGGTTTGTTAAGAACAAAGCTTGAATGACTAGTGATTGAGAGCGAAATAACTAGAGAAGCAGATTTGTGAGGAGCTAATGATGATTTTCAGGAGAAATTAGAGTCTTTTGCTTTAGGAGGTGACTAGAGGATCTTGGGACAGAGTTAACCTAGGTTTGTACTCTGTTTCTCACATAGTGGATTATGGTATGCTTGGACTAAGGCCATGGGTTTTTCCTTTTAGGGTTTTCCGTGTTAAAAAATTGTGTGTCTGTTTTATTTTATTTATTAGTTGCTCTATGTGTTTATAAGATTGCAATTGAGACATGTAATCAAACAAATTAACAGAATTTTAAACAAGGATTACTGGATTAACCAAGATGGCATCCATTACTGACGGAGTGGTTAGAAGTTTGTGGGGATGAAGGTTTGTGGAATGGGAGGCCTTGGATGCTACAGGTTCTTCGGGTGGTATTTTAGTTATGTGGGATAGCAGGTGGTTGTCTAGAATGAATGTGTGGAAGATGAGATTTTCTGTTTCTTTTGAGTTTAAGATGGAAGAGGATAATTTCAGATGGGTTTTTTCTGGGGTCTATGGACCGGTTGACGATGCTGAGAGACCTATTTTATGGGAGGAACTAATCCTCGTTCAAGGACTATGCTCTTTACCATGGTGTTTGGGTGGGGATTTCAATTCAGTCAGATTCCCGTCAGAGAGGTCTACTGGAGGAAGAAGGTCCATAGACATGTATTAGTTCTCCGACTTCATTGATGAGCACCTTCTCATTGATCTACCAATGGAAGGTGCAACCTATACCTGGTCTAATGGTAGAGACCCAGTTATTCTCCCAAGATTGGACAGATTTTTGATATCGGGGAGTGGGAAGAAAAATTCCCCGTTGTTCAGGCGGTCTTAGAAAGGGTTACCTCTGATCATGTTCCTTTAGTTTTGGATTGTGGGGGTTTGTGTTATAGGAAAACCCCATTCCGTTTTGAGAATATGTGGTTGAGAGTGGAGGACTTCTAAGGGACTATTCGTTCTTGGTGGGAGGGAGTGATCGTTACAGGTGCACCCAGCTTCATATTAACACAGAAATTAAGAGCTCTCAAACTCGCTCTTGAGCAGTGGAATAAGGATGTTTTTGGGAATCTTGAATGGAGGAAGAATAGAGTCTTTCCCGATTTTTCTGAGATTGATCGGCTTGAGGAGGCGGGTGGGAATGTGGAGGCTCTTTCTACTAGGAGAGCTTCCTGTCAAGCAGTTCTTGCTGAGATTGCTTGCATGGAGGAAATTTCGTGGCGACAAAAATCACGGGCTCTTTGGTTGAAAGAGGGTGATGGTAATACAAAATTTTTTCACAGACTTGCTAATGCTCACAGAAGGAGTAATCATATAGGTCGTCTACGGGTTGAAGGCGTGGAGTTGTGGAGGGAGGAAGAGGTGCGTAGTGGGATCTTTTTTTTTATCAGAAGCTTTACACAGAACCTTTAGGTTGGAGACCTAAGCTTGATGGTCTTCCTTTTGAGGCCATTTCTGTGCTGGAGAGAGATGGGTTAGAGCTTCCTTTTACTGAAGAAGAAGTTCTTAAGGCTTTATCCAGTTGTAATGGGGATAAAGCCCCGGGGCCAGACGGGTTCACTATGCGCTTTTTGATGGAAAGCTGGGTGGTTGTGAGAAATGAAGTGATGAGTACCTTTTAGGAGTTCCATTCTACTGGTGTTTTTGAAAAATCGCTCAATGCATCATTCATTGCCCTTATCCCTAAGAAGGGAAACGCTTCAGATATTAAGGACTTTTGTCCTATTAGCTTAGTGGGTTGTATTTACAAACTCATAGTTAAGGTGCTGGCTCATAGAATGAGAGAAGTTATGGATAGGATTATTTCAGATTCCTAGAATGCCTTTGTTGGAGGACGACAAATTTTTGATTCAGTTCTTATTGCTGGTGAATGTGTGGATTCAAGGTTGCGTAGTGGTGTTCCTGGAGTTTTTTGCAAACTTGATATTGAGAAAGCTTATGATCATGTCAACTGGAATTTCCTTCTCTACCTGCTTAAAAGAATGGGGTTTGGAAGTAAATGGAGGACATGGATTGAGACCTGTCTTTCGTCTGTCAAGTTCTCAATTCTTGTGAATGGTTCTCCAGCTGGCTTTTTCGGGTGTTCTTGAGGTTTAAGACAAGGTGACCCATTGTCATCTTTTCTTTTTCTAATTGCTATGGAGGGCTTAAGCAGACTTATGCGCCAGGCAGAGAATCTTGGTCTTATTAAGGGATTCCGGGTGGGAAGAGATATTGACAATCAGGTGGAGATTTCACATCTACTCTTTGCAGATGACACTCTGGTTTTCTGTGATGCTGATGTGTCTCAACTTAGATATTTGAGGTGCATTTTGGCTTGCTTTCAGGCAGTTTCTGGGTTAAAGGTGAATGTGGCCAAGAGTGTGCTTGTCCCAGTTGGGAATGTTGAGGATATCTCTTCTTTAGCTGCAGTTCTTGGGTGCAGGGTGAATTCCTTTTCCATCCCTTATTTGGGTTTGCCCCTAGGGGTTTCTTCCAGGTTAGTGGGGAGTTGGATTCTGTGCTTGATAGGTATGCAAAGAGGTTGGCTGGTTGGAAGAAGCAATATTTATCTAAGGGGGGTAAAGTAACTCTCATTAAGAGCACTTTATCAAGTCTTCCCACTTATTTTCTTTCTTTGTTCCAAATTCCATGCTCCGTTGCTGATAGAATTGAACAAATTCAAAGGAATTTCCTTTAGGGAGGAA